ACAACAAAGAAGTCTGAATCTGTCCTCCATCCCAAACATTGTTCTATATTTTGACCATATCTGGAGTTCTAGAAGTCAAAATGATCTGAATTTTGTACACACGAAATCTGAGACAATTTCCTACAACTTGTATGTTTTCAAGTGGTTCCAATTTTGATGCTATCAATAACATTTTGGGCAGACAAAAGAAGATAAGGATTGTCACCAAGTCAAGAGTTGGCCACCTACTCATCAATTAGTCATCAAATCAATAGTTTCCAATTTTAGCCTATAAAAGGAGGTATTTGCCATGCATTTAGGCATCTTGGTTTCCAGATCAAGATCATACTCTTGCTTTCTCTCTTTGTATTTTTTGTAATGTTTATGCTTTGCTTTCATTAATATCAAGTTTATGCCTTTCATTTCCTTTCCTTTACTTAGTTAACTCTTATCTTATTTATGTTCTTATTTTGTTTATTTATTTTTCTTTCTTTTATTATGTTTAGCTAAGTTTATTATGTCAAGGTGAAAAGGTTACACTAATGGTGTAAGAATAAGTATAGTGTAAACTTAATATGGACTTTAATGTTTGATATTAACATGTTTTGTATTTGTTATCTTGTTCACTCTTTAATACTTTGCTTGTTAAATGACTAATCTTGATTTATGTTATATAACACTTGGTACAACAAATACTTGGCACTTTCATAGCCCATACTGTGTGGTATAACCGACACTTGAGCTATGAAAGGAACTTGATTTATTGTTAACATAAGTTATAATCATGAATTCTTGATGAGATTTACAAGTATTAGCATTAATCGAATAAGATGGCTAATGTAATCATGTTAACAATCTATAATCAGATTGGAACCTCCTTTGTGTGTGGTTTCCAATTGAATAATAAGAGTTTATACTATACTTGTTTGACATACCATTAGTGGATCCTCTAACCTTGATATTTGTTATTATCATTGTTTAATTCTTATATTAATATTCCATCTCAAAGTTTCTTCTTCTTCTTCTCATTCTTTTTCTTTATTATTATTATTATTATTATTGTTATTATTATTGTTATTGTTATTATTATTATAACTATTACTATTACTACCACTACTATTATTATTACTATTATTATTGTTACTATTATTATTATTGTTGTTGTTATTTACAATTTATACAATTAACCTCTCTATGGTTTGACCCCGGTCTTGTCGGGTTATTTATTACTTCGACACTCCTGCACTTGAGAAAGGACATCAATCTTTTAGTCGTGTCAAAGAAGTCCATTGAAAGCCTCTTTAAACCTTTTGAATTGATCCAATATGTTATCTTCTTAATATTTTTCTTATAAATGTCATCATGAATATTTTTTTAAGCCAAACTGTGTTTTTATTAGTTATCCAGATTCTATTTAAATCTGTCAAGTTGAATGGAATACATTAAAATAATTTATATATAGTTTAATTTGAAATATGAACTATGCAAATAGTTGGGTTAAAAGGTTTTAAGTTTGATATATTAATAACAATACTAAATAATAATTTTACATATTCTAAATATTATTTTTATGTTCAAAAATATTTTAGTCCAATCTCACATAAGTGTTTTTGTTAAATCAATCATATTTTTGTTGTTGCAATGTTTTATATCTGTTAAAGAACCATCTCACCTAAAAACTTAAGCTATTATGTAAAGTTCTAAGGTATGATTTATGTTATTCTTTAACACACTACTTCAAGTGAAAGCCCTTTGGGCTTGAAATTTGCACAGACCTATATTACCTTGTGGTGAATTTTTATCAAATAAATGGAGATGGTGAGATTCAAATTCATGACCGTTTAATCATAAAGACTCTGATACCATCTTAAAAAATTATTTTACCTAAAAGCTTAACCTTCTAGGTAAGATGATTTTTTGATAATACCGTAGAAGTGTCTTTATCTATTTATTTTTAATTTATACTTTAGAGAGATGATAGAATAGAAAGAAAAATGAAAAAAATAACTCGTGTAATATGTACATTTTTGTAGCAAAGTTATCTTTGAACTATTTATAAGGATTCTCGAACAGGTATTGAGTTGTGAAGGTTTAGAAATTTCATAGCCAATTCGTTATTGCAATAAACCAAATTGAGGATTTATTTTTAATATTGTGGGAACCAAATTGAGACAAAACATTCTTTAGTGGCTTAATTGAAACTTAGGTGAGAATTTAAAACCAGAAGAAAGAGGTGTCATCTTGGGGGGAGAGATAGCTCCTCTGTACCAGAAAGACTTTGCCAGTTTTTGAAGGTTAAATAAATATAAATATTATTTCAATTCACGCATTCGACGCTGCCTTCCTTCCGACACACCCTCCTCCCCTCTCCTCTCCGTCGCTTGAGCTGGAACCGTATTCTTCACTCATCTCCAACTCACTCTTTCACTCACTCATGGCGCGACTGATTCAACTCACCATCCTTTTCATTCAATTTTATTATTATTATTACATCACCACCACCGCACACGGCGTCTCTTCCAATGGAACCACCTTCCTCCTCGACAGTTCCCGCTCTGCCATGATATTACCACTCTTTCTATCTCCTCCAAATCTGTGTACAAAATTCTCCAGTACGCGTCGCCTTCTCCAGAGATCCAATGCTAATGCTCCGCCCAATGCGCGCATGAGACTCCACGATGATCTCCTTATCAACGGGTATTATACAACAAGGCTATGGATCGGGACGCCGCCACAGAGATTTGCGCTGATTGTTGATACAGGCAGTAGTGTTACTTACGTTCCATGTTCTTCTTGTGAGCAGTGCGGCAGGCACCAGGTATCTTTTAATTTTTATTAAATTTGAGAAACAAAAATGTTTTTGTGTTGGAAGTATCAATTAAATAATGCGAGATCTAGTGAAAAACTATGAGCATAATTCAATTTGAATGAAAGGAGTAAGAGCGTTGTAAGACTTGATGGTCTTGTGCCATCAGTGCAGTGGTATAATTAGTTGACAATAATGGGCAGGAATCTTTTTAAGGACCTGCGTGTAAAACATGCTGACAGAGTCGTTGTGGGATAATATAGTTTTCCTCTCTTTTCTTTTGCTTTCATCGTTTTGGAGGATGACTTATTGTCCAACATGCTTCTGTAACGCTGGAAATGTTCCTTTTCTTTATTAATAAAGTTTTTTTCTTTGCTATTTTTTTTTTTATCTTTCACCAGGATCCAAAGTTTCAACCAGATTTGTCAAGCACTTACCAATCTGTAAAGTGTAATATAGATTGCAATTGCGACGATGAAAAGCAACAATGTGTTTATGAGAGACAATATGCTGAAATGAGTACTAGCAGTGGCGTTCTTGGTGAGGACATCATATCCTTTGGCAATCTAAGTGCACTTGCTCCTCAACGTGCTGTTTTTGGTTGTGAAAATATGGAAACTGGTGACCTTTACAGTCAGCATGCTGATGGCATAATGGGACTGGGTCGTGGGGATCTTAGTATTGTGGATCATCTTGTTGATAAAGGTGTGATTAACGATTCATTCTCATTATGTTATGGTGGAATGGGAATTGGTGGAGGTGCGATGGTTCTTGGTGGTATATCGCCCCCTTCAAACATGGTTTTTAGCCAGTCTGACCCAGTGCGCAGGTGTGTTGTTAAAGATTTTTTGTCTTAGAGGTATAACACCTTTCAAACTTTCCTAACAAATACATTTGGCACTTCTCCCTTATTTACTCTAGTTTCGGGATGGCAACAGTCCATATTACAACATTGATCTGAAGGAGATACATGTTGCGGGAAAGCCATTGCCTCTAAATCCTACAGTGTTTGATGGAAAACATGGAACTATCCTGGATAGTGGTACAACATATGCTTACCTACCAGAAGCAGCTTTCGTGTCATTTAAGGATGCTGTAAGCTACTTTTCTTTAAGTTTTACCCTTTATTTCTTTTTTGGCTCTTTTTGTACAGAACTTTAGTGGAACTTTGTTTCACAACAATATCCTGTTGGAGAATCATTTTTCTCTATGCTAAATAACATGATAAGGTTGAATGAGCTGCCTGCTATTTCTCCTTGACATTGTTAATGAATGGTGCATTTCGAGTAGCATTCAAACAAAAATAAGAAGTATTTGCATCTATCTAATATTATGGCTATATATATCACCAAAATTGATGCAGCCAACGAGTAGCAAGTTTCTGAATTATGTTATTTTGATTTTTAGATGTGTTTCTGGTAATCATACAATTTAAGAACTTGTTTTACCTGAAGCTGTCATACATCACTAAGTCCATCTTATGAGAATAAATTTTGATCAAATGCCAAGATATGTTTATTGTCTCTCCTAAACAAGGTTGGTCGAAGTTCAACATAATTATTCTTAAATTCTTAATCCATATATTTCAAGGAATGATTGCTAAGCATTTACTTGAAGTCTCATCTTCTTTCTCTTATCCTCCGTGTTCCCATGAAATATATTCTTGATACCTCTGATTTCACAATGAATGTGTACTGAATAAAGCAGATTAGTTTGATAGACTATTAATGATATAGTGCATCAATTTGTGATTCCTTGGTCTTGTAGTTGTTCCTAATATTGTGTTACCATCTTTTGAGATGGGCATGCAGATTATGAAGGAGCTTCATTCCTTAAAGCCCATCCGTGGGCCTGATCCAAATTATAATGACATTTGCTTTTCTGGTGCTGGAAGGTATTGCATTTAGATAAATAGAAGGTTGTAGCTTAAGTTCATCACTGGATTATTATGTCATCACTCTTGTGTAGTTAACAGTGGTAAATGATTTTCTCTCCAGTGATATTTCCCAACTGTCAAGCTCCTTTCCAGTGGTTGAGATGGTATTTGGAAATGGGCAGAAGTTGTTACTGTCACCAGAAAATTATTTATTCCGAGTGAGTAATTGGTTTTTCTAGAATTTTTCTTTAAGAATGGTTGGGGGACAGAGACGTATATATCCTGTAAAAAGCTGCATGTTTCCTTGTTCCTTTTCGTTTCTCTGATCTCACTCACTATGCTATTTTATTTATAGCTACTGATTGAGTCCTTATTCTATTCACTTTGTTTTTTCTTAGCATTCAAAAGTGCATGGTGCATATTGTTTGGGTATATTCCAAAATGGAAAGGACCCAACCACTCTTCTAGGAGGTATGCAAAATTGCTGAGCATGAGTTTTGATGATTTATTATATTATGCTCTCTGTTTGAAAATTTGCCCTTTTATTTTCCATCAGCAATATGCTGCAATGTATTCTTGAGGTATTTTTGTAGTCCTGAGTTGTGTTGCTTGTGAACTTTTGTTTGTAACAGGAATTGTTGTCCGGAATACTCTTGTCTTGTATGATCGTGAAAATTCAAAGATTGGTTTTTGGAAGACTAATTGTTCAGAATTATGGGAAAGACTTAATGTAGATGGTGCACCACCCCCAGCACCTTCATCTTCAAATGGAAATAACTCAAATACAGAAATGCCACCTTCCATGGCACCTAGTGACCAAAAACATTATGGTCTTCCAGGTATGTCAAGTTCCAGATCTCTGAGCGACTCCTATATTGGCAATGAACTTAAATCATTGTATGAACATGTACCTTTTTGTGCTCACACCTATTGGAACTACTCTGGTTCTAGCGGCTTAAGTAGCATAACTTTCATGACTGGTTCAATATCCTAGCACTTCAGCAGAGTTTCAGTCATGGTGGGCTCAGATGAAATGAAACTTTTCCTGCAAATCCATGCATGGTTGTTACCATTTGTTCAGTTTCAAACACATCAAATTTCTTGAATTTTTATTTGAGGAAATTTTACAATTTCAAACTTTTTTTTCTGTAAGCCAAAGCATTTGGATTTGTCATGGCAAGTTGGTCTTTTGTTATCTTCTTTCACCATATTCCTCATTTAGTAAAGATATACTTTTAGGCTTCATTGACTGTGTATCCTTACAGCCAATTTGGCGTAACTTGTGAGTTCTTTTGAGTTATTTAAAACGCTACTTATCACATATTAGCTCTAAGAATTATGTCTATGAAATCATTTTCACAGCAATGTTGTAAACAACTTAAAGTCATAATTTTGTTTTTATTCCATATTGAGTCATGATCAATGAGTAGAAATCATGTATCTTTAAGTCATATTTCAAAAGTTTCTTTTCATAATTTATTTCTGATATATTATATATAAAAAATCTGTTTAACACTATTGTAAACAACCTTTATTTTATTTTGTTTCATTATTTTTTTTGTCATGTTTTAGATTTTGTTTCAATTTAAGTCATGATCATTGAGTGAAGAGATTTTGTTTTTGCCCCCATGTTTTTCTACACAAATGAAGTCAAAATTTTGTCCCGTGTTTTTTTTACACAAGTTTAGTCAAAATGCTTTATAATTCTTCACTCATATTTTTACTCAAACAAAGTCAAAATGCATTATATGTTCTTTGTTTGCTTACATAATATGTATAGAATAAATAATCCATTTTATGTTAAAAAAGATGATGGTAAGTACTTGAAATAAACCATACCCAGCAGGCTCCTGGAACAGGAGGGGTTAAGTTTCATGCCATGAAATATTGGTTTGAATTGGGCCAACTGTGAAACGTTAAAGAACATTTACACGGAACTGTCCCCAAGTCTAAAGCATGTGCTCTAAATCCTCACTCTATATTTTCGGTTGAGATGAATCAGGTTCCAAGATTCTGAAGTTACACTAGATACACTTGTTGACTCTTCAACAAATCATGTTTACTTTTATGGTCTGTTATGATAGCTCAATCAAGATGCTTTCTGGTCATATTTAATGATTTACTTTCATGGACAGATGAAAAGAAAATTGGACAAATAACTTTTGAAATGATGTTGAATGTCAACTACTCAGACCTGAAGCTTCACATTTCAGAACTTGCTGAATCCATTGCTCAGGAGTTAGGCATTAACAGTTCACAGGTTAGACGAGTATTGTATTGGAATGCAATGCAGGTTATATTGCTTCATTGATGTAGATGCAAATAATATGGGAGTATATAATCATCTCCTCAATAGGGGAAAAGAAGTTAGTTAAAAAGCAACTTTGTAGTTCATTCTGGCTTTGCTGAGGTTTGCTTTAGGAGGCCAATAATTTTAGGTGCATGATTTCAGGTCTATATTCTGAATTCTATGGAAAAAGGAAATGCTTCGTACATTGAATGGGCTGTAGTCCCTTCCGAATCTGCTGACTGCATTTCCAATGTCACTGCTCTTGTAAGTTTGTTTGTATGTTAGTACAGCTAGTGACTATGCCTAAAATTAGAAATGTTTGCTTGATTTTTTTGGTATTACCCACAGAGCATGATTGCCCGTGTTGCTGAATCCCACATGCACCTTCCTGATACATTTGGAAGTTATCATTTGATTAACTGGGAAATCAAGGCTTCAGCAAAACGGTAGGTTATTTTTTACTTTGTTGACAGCTATTTCCCAACTGCACTTGGTTTATGTTTCTTTTTGCTTCATTATTTTTATTTATTGACTGGGTTCATTTTAGTGACTTGTGTTCAACTCACCATGTCATAGCATTGAGTGATGTCCTTGTATGTAAAATTTTATTTCATGGTTCTTGAAGATGTATATACAATCACCTGAGAGTTATGGTTTTTTCTTTTCGTTAAAAAAATAAATAAATAAAGAAGAAGAAGAAAAGTTATGCTCTTCTCATTTATAAACTACTTTTAATACGGAAGTTGCTAAAGCACCTTATGGGTCATTGCTTGCTTCTTTCCTTGAGTCTTAGAGTTCTCAGCGTTCACTATTGTTGGATTCTTTTCCCTCTAGTGGTTGTTTTTAGCGTTTAGGCCTTAATACGTTTTGATATGGCTCGTGCCTCATGGTATTCTGTAAACATTGTGATCTTATCATATTATGCAGGACCTGGTGGCAGCAACATTTTCTGCTGGTGGTTTTAGCCATTGCTGTTACGTTTATTTTTGGATTATTAGCTTTTGGAATATGGTTTATATGGAGACACAGACAACGAGCATTGAATCCATACAAACCAGTTGATGCAGTAGTTACTGAGCAAGAACTGCAGCCGTTGTAGGCTTCTCGAGGGTTCAATGAATTATTTCATTTATGTTGCTGTAAACATTGTGATCTTATCATATTATGCAGGACCTGGTGGCAGCAACATTTTCTGCTGGTGGTTTTAGCCATTGCTGTTACGTTTATTTTTGGATTATTAGCTTTTGGAATATGGTTTATATGGAGACACAGACAACGAGCATTGAATCCATACAAACCAGTTGATGCAGTAGTTACTGAGCAAGAACTGCAGCCGTTGTAGGCTTCTCGAGGGTTCAATGAATTATTTCATTTATGTTGCTGTAAACATTGTGATCTTATCATATTATGCAGGACCTGGTGGCAGCAACATTTTCTGCTGGTGGTTTTAGCCATTGCTGTTACGTTTATTTTTGGATTATTAGCTTTTGGAATATGGTTTATATGGAGACACAGACAACGAGCATTGAATCCATACAAACCAGTTGATGCAGTAGTTACTGAGCAAGAACTGCAGCCGTTGTAGGCTTCTCGAGGGTTCAATGAATTATTTCATTTATGTTGCAGTGTGTAAGAATTTTTTTGTTCTTTGATTCAGAAGCTGTAAATTCTGCAATCCGAGTGACCAAATTTCTCAAGACTTTATCAATATACAAAACAGCCCTATCAACTGCTTCATTGTGTTATTCAGTAAACAGGGCGGTGTCAAAAGAATAGCTTTCAGTCCAAATTTTGTATTTTAATAGTCATAACTTCGTATATTGAGCAGGGGGAATTCTTTACTCTTCCTTTTTCAGAGCGTGAGGATTTCGGGTTAGCGCGCCTTTCTAGCAGGATTGAAGTTGGTGAGTGCCTGATTATTCAACAACTATGGGAATATAAGCAGTAAGTAACTAGAATATATAAAAAATAAGATTCTAAACGATGATAGAGTTTACGAGATGGGGTTGCTTATTTGAATAAATTTAGGTAATTTAATAATATCATTTAAAAAAAATTAACACAAATAAAAATATAATAACTAATTAGAAAAAAAAACTTGTTAATATCATAGAAATGTATTTTCTAAATATTCTTAAAAGGTTATATTTGATAATAAAATAAAAATAAAAATATGATAATCTTATAAAGAGAAAAATTAAAAAAAAATAAAACCTATTTACTAGTAAATTAGATGTATGAAATGAACAAAAAAAAAAAGGATTAAAAGAAAATCTAACTTAAATCAACATGTCAAGTTTATAGCTGTTGGTGAGACTAATATAACATCATACAAAAGTAAAGCAAAGCAATTGAATAAAATAATAGAGGTTAATTTTTAAGTAAAATAAAAAAAAAATTAAAAAAAAATTAAAAATTATGTTGAAAAAAACTCAAGTTAACTTAACTAACTTACGACCCAAGATATAAAATAAAGAGAAAAAATACGAATCTCAAGATCTAAAAACTTATTGTCAAAATGATGAAATTGAAAAAAAAAACTCAAATTTTAAAAAAGAATCTATAAAAAACCAAAGTTAAATCTAGTTAATTTTTTAAATCTGTGACTTGTGTAGAAGCCAAACATGAAAAAATCAGGAAGTAAAATTCTTAATCATCCAAATATTAAGAGATAAAATGAAAAAAAAATCAATTAAAAAAAAATAAAAAATAAAATAAATAACAATCAAAATAATAAAGACCAAACCTGATATAATAAAATAAGAAAGGAAAAAAATTTAAAATTAAATAAATTAAGAAAATAAAAAAATAAAAATCAAAAGAATGAGAACCCAATTGAATAAAAAAAACTAAATGAAATTAAATACTAAAAAATTAACTTTAAAAAATATTAAAAACAAAACAAACAGTAGTAGAAAAAAATAAAATTCAAAAGTGATACAATACAAACTGGTGGGACACTTTAATTTTTGAAAGGCCAGGCATTAAACTTTAGGCAATGAGATAGAAAAAAAAAAGAAGAAAATAATTCATTATAGCCACATCATCAGTCATTTGTCGACACACGCCTACCTACTTAGAAGAGCATATCCAACACACTAACATGGATGTCACACACTCTAACCCTTAGTCAACATGATTATAAAAAAAACTAGAATAAAAATACATAAAAACCTTGGATATTAGTTATGTTTTTTTTTCTTCTAAAGATAAATTAGTTAGTGTTTTAAAAATTCAAAGAAGCCATTTAATATTTTTTTTTCTTTTACATGTAATTTATTCATTGCATTGTGATTAAAAATATTAAAAAAACTGATTTATCCCCTATCATTTTGATAATAATTAATAAATCTTGTGGAAAAAATTATATTAGTAAATTCAATGATATTTCTTGGAAGGAGAAAATGACTATTCATTATTCTAATCATAGAGTATTAAATCTGGGTGCATAGCAAAAGACTAAGTATTCTTAGTTTTTTTCTTATCTTATAAAAAAAATTTGAAATTTTTTTTATTTAATTTATGACTATTAAAATACAATATTGAAAGGATTTTAATTATTTAAATTTTAGAGTAAGAATATATTTATCTAGTCAAATCTCTTTCTTTTTATTTATACATTTCTTTATTTTTTTTTAAATATGCAGACCTTTTCATTAATATAATGGTTTTTTCAATAAAAATTCAAAGCCATTTAAGTAGAAATTCAAAAGAATTGAAATGATATAAATTTATGAGGAAAAAATTATTTATATAGAGAAGATTCCTTTTTCATTACCATTAATACTTTCTTTATCTAAAGCTTAGTATTTCATATAATTATTTACAAACCTTATTAATACCTCAAAAGAAAACAAAAAACAAATCTTGATTATTTTAATGCAAATGTATGAAAAAATTAAAAAAAATTAATTTTACATATAATTATTTATAAAGTGAATGTTAATTTTTCAAGAAAAAGCTTCACTCTTATTTGAAAACTATGGCACAATATGATCATCATTTTAATAATTTTATATAAAAATAAAAAAAAAATTGTGAAGATATCTGATTAATATATATAAAAGCTTTAGGCACCAAAATTGTTATAAATCATTATTCTTCTTAAGTGATGTCCATAGTGAATACCAGTATAAGGGAATAATGGATTTTACTTTACAAACCTCAAAATCTTTTATTATTTTTTATAGTACACATCCATCAAACATGTTGGTTATGCGTGACAATCTTTGCATTTCAATAATTAAAAAAAAAAGTAGTTTAATGTCATTAACTTTATATTTATACTAAGAATAAATCATTCATAAGTCATTGATTAAAAAGAAAAGTCATTTACTTAGTAAATTAATAATAATAAAAAAAAGCTGGAATTGACCATCAAAATAGTAGAATCAACTATCAATCAAAAAATTAAAACTTTTATCAATAATCGATCATTTAATTTTTATGTAGAATAAAAGTCTTTAATAAGGTAACTAGCAGATATTATAAATTGATGGGAATACATTCGATTGCCAAAAGGAAGTGTGCAGGAAAAAATTACAAATTATATTAAGATTAAAATCATATAGTCTATATACTAGAGATAATTTGTATAAAATTATGATATTATATTTATATAAAATTCTATCTATGTAATAATATAAATAAGTCATCCAATAATTTAACACAATTGTCACAACTTTCTTTCTTTTACTTATCACATTTTACATCTTTTTTTATTTTTATTTTATTTACAATTTTACTATATCTTTCATTTTCGTTTACATTTATTTTTCGGTTTGTGTTTTTGACATTATCTCTTTTTTATTTTAAACTTGTTAGGGAGTTCAAAACTTCACATTATATTTGGTCAGCGAGATTGTTATCTATCTCCACTAAAAATTAAGTTGCTAACTGTAATTTGTTCATATTAGAAGGAAGATATGAAAAACAAATACCATATTGATAAATGAATCAATGATTTATTAAAAAGTTGATAATGATTAAGCATCAAAACTGTTTTTATATAATCAACACTTTGTGAAAATAAAAGGCTGAGGATGTGCCACATTGATATTTTTTTAATTAGTTAAAGAAAATAAAAGAAATAAGGAACAAATAATTCAAAATCAAAATTAAACTTTTATCCATTTTATGGACCAAAAAAAAAAAAGAAAATAAAAGAAATCTGAAATACATTAAACCTTAACCTTATAAGAGGCTTTCAAAGAAAACCATAAATCATTATTTGCTTTGATTAATTCAGTATAATAACAAATCATTTGTATTTTACCAAAAACCAATAACCTACACTTCATAGAAATAATAGAATGTATTCCACCAAAAACCACTAACTTGCATTCTACAAAAATCACACTTTATATATCTACTATAATAATTATTTTTTTATTCTAGATTGGTTGTTGTAAAATATTTCAACAAATCTTTACTTATATATTTGATCTTGAGTTTGAAAATGAATGTGTTGGTTGTAGTTGATTTTTGACAAGGGAAGGATGAAGGTCCTTTAGGTTTCAATTAAAAAATGAATTTAGAATTTTTTTTTTATTATTATAGATGATTGTTATAATTATTGAAGGATGAGTTTCAGGATTTAAGATTGAGATTAAATTGATATAAAAAGATAGAGAAAAAGAATGATGGTTAGATGTGATTTTAGATAATAATCAATAAGAGTTTCCATGACAAAAGGAATTAAGAATTTTCATCGAGAAGCTACACCACCATCTTGGTTTTATGTTTTCATCATCATTTTTTACTTATCCTTTTTTAGTCATTGCAAGGGATATATCAATAAAGCTAAGGGTAAAAATAAAAAATAGAGTTGTCACCTAGTTTTATAGTGTTAGAAACCCTACTTAAGTTTTTAGAAGTTATAGGTAAAGGGTTAGTTATGTATATGAAAAACAACAATCACCTCATAACTCTTATATAAGATAAGCTGCATTGTTGTTAGTTAAAAAAAAAAAAATTATGTATGTTGTGCTTGAAATTATGTAAACTAACATATTTTGTTTTGAAGCTTAAACTTAAAGAGTGGTTTTAGATTTAAAACTGAAAATAACCTAATCCCCACTTTTATGATAGTCAAGCATTAAACCATCAAGGTGATGAGTTATACATAAACATTAGACCTACAGAGATTATATGGATTAAAATGGGCTTGAAGGTCATCAGTCATTCTCAATGGATCTATATGGGATCACGTTAATCTAGTCCAACCTGCTCTTAGCATTAAGAAAGGTATACAAATAATACATATCAACATGATTATATATAGGTATTCATCAACTCAAATACCTAATAGTCAACTTTTAATGACAATAGTCAAGAAAAAGTCATCTAATCATAGGTTGAGTTCTTTAAATAAATAACGACTTATATATCACATATAGAAACAAATATAAAAATCACATGGTAAATTATAAAACTTGTATTTTCCTATTTAAATGCCTGATAATGAACATAAAAAAATAGAAGCCAATAACAGGTTGTTTAATTCTAGATTGAGTTTTTAAATAAAAGACAATTTATACATGATAAAATTCACAAAAACAACATAAAAAAGACATAAATAAATACATAAATATATATCCACCAATTCTATTACTCGATAATCAACATTCAAAATTAAGAGCTAATAATGAATCATCTAATCTTAGGTTGCATCCTTAAATAAAATGAAATTAATAAATATTTACAAAAAAAATAAACGAACACAAAATAATAACATGAGACATAAACACATATAAAATTTCCAAACTAAGACCAAACCATTACACTTTAAATAAACCAAAATCAAACTCTATCATCTTAACTTTGCTTGCATGGGGCATTG